GTCAACCCTATTTCTTTCCATCTTGGGACCATTATTTGGGTTCTTTTTGCTTTTTTCTGCTGGTCCCTGGACCTCAAATAGGCGGACTAACTCTGTGATACAACAGATAAATAATTTGGTAGCAAAACCTACTCAGATACATTATCATAAGTTAGCTATGGAGGACCATGAGACTCAAGATGAGGTTGTTACTTTATACAGGGTGTTCCCAAAACTCATCTCCACCCAACCTAAAAGAGGGTACTTCCACCCCTAGACCAGGCAGAGAGGGGCCACCCAGAACCCCCTCTGTCAGGCGATCTGAATTCTTGCTTAGGCTGCGAGGCTAAGCACTGCAAGGGAATATAAATAAAAGATAAAAATATCTCTCTGGGTTCCCTGAGGGACAAGCCTGACTGCATAGGGGTTGATGTCAGAAGTATCCCCTCTCCAGGAAAAAGACATCGGGACGGGTATGGCCCTCATGCCTCACTGGACAACGACAGGGGGACTGGAGCCATTACAAGGTCCCCTTCAAATACTGGAGGTCAGGCCTCTATCCCCGCCTTCGCAAGTTTAGAATTAGAAGGCCACAGCCCTTCTATACTAAGAGAAGGGAGGAGATGTCAGGGGCAGCCCTGCTTACACACTGTAGGCCTAAAATCAGCCATAGGCCTAAAATCAGCAATAGGCCTGTCATGCATGTATACTAACACCAAGTCTTGGGTCTCAGTGGAAAAATATTGAAACAGATGGCTATAAGCTAATGTAAACAGGCAGCTTTTGTGGAAATTTATAAGCCTGAGTAACCATAGACCTTGTAAATAGGTAGCCTTGGCAGACAATACCAACTTAGATAAGGACAAACCAGTCATAGGCAGAGTCATAGTGACTTGTCCCCTGAACCTTCACCTAGCCGATACCCGGTGCTGAAGATATCTGTATTCCCCCTGAACACCCACACTCCAGTGTCATTCCCTTCCCCACATCCTGCCTTTCTGTGTTTATGACCCCTGTGTGAATTAATTATGATTTGAGAAAAAAATTTATAAAATTAGATACTTTCTGTAAACTATAGATTAGACATTGTATAGCTGTTAGCCCAAGAACGCTTTCTTTTGTATTTCTCAATGCTGTCTCTTTGTAAGTCGTTGCATTTTCTTTTAATTGTTCACATTTTCCAAAAAGCCAAAATATTATTCCAATTGAATAGGAAAAAAAGCCCTCAAAATCCATTCCCTTATTTGAACATAGACTTGTTCTTCACACTAAACACCAAGTCTAACAGTCAAAACACATTATTTGACTAACAAGTTGTGGTGGTTTGAATATGTTTGGCTAAGGGAGTGGTACTATTTGAATGTGTGGCACTATTTGGATGTGTGGCCTTGTGGGAATAGGAGTGTCAATGCAGGTGTGGGCTTTAAGACCCTTGTCCTAACTCCCTGTAAGACAGTCTTCTCTCTAGAGGCCTTTAGATGACGATGTAGAACACTCAGCTATTCCTGCACCATGACTGCCTGGATGCTGCCGTGCTCCTAACTTTATGATAATGGACTGAACCACTGAATCTGTAAACCAGTCCCAATTAAATGCAAGACTTGCCTCAAGGTCATGGCATCTGTTCACAACAGTAAAACCCTAACTAAGACACATGTCCAATCATGATTTACCAACTCACCCTAGCACACACTCCCCTTTCTCCTTAAAAACCTGATCCCTGCAGGAACACCTGTTCTCTCTTGCCTCTCTTGCTTCTCTTGCCTCTCTTGCTTGTTTGAACCTTCTGATGTTGCTGCCTTTGCAGTTCCCTTTTCCCCCTTACCCCTTTGGGTAAAAATCTACCCTGTGCTGAGAATTGATGTCTAGGTAGGTCCTGTACTGATTTGGGAAGATGACCTCCCTTACCATCCACATCTGACAGTAGGTTATTATCCAATGTATGCAATGGATTCAAGAAGCTAGATATCAACAAAACAAATAATTTAATGAACATAATGGAATATAGATCTAAAGAAGAATTCCCAATGGTGGAATCTAAAATAGCTGCCAGCACTTTTTAAAAACTGTTCAACATCCTTAGCCATCAGAGAAATGCAAACTAAACTAACTGAGATTCCATCTTACACATGACAGAATGAATAAGATCAATACCACAAGTGACAGCTCATGCTGGCAAGGAGGTGGAACAAATATCCTCCTCTATTGCTGGTGGGAGTGCAAACATGTGCAATCACTATGCAAATAAATATGGCAGTTTCTCAGAAAAAAATGGGACTCAATCTAACACAAGGCCCAGTTGGGTATAACCACAACTGGACATATACACAAGTGGCCTTCCATCCTAAACAAGGAGACTTGCTCAGCTATGTCCATAGTAGCTTTATTCATAATATCCAAAAAGTGGAAATAATGTAGATGTCTCTCAACAGAAGAAGAGATGCCAAAAATGTGGTACATTTATAAAATGGCTATTACTCAGCTTTGAAAAAATGACAACATAAAACTTGCAGGCAAATGGATGGAACTATAAAACAAAAACCATACTGAGTGAGATAATCCAGATCCCAAAAGACAAATGCCATGTATACACACTTATAAGTGCGTATTAGCTGTTAAGTAGATAATCATGCTAAAGTCTACAGACACAGAGAGGCTAAGTGGCAAGAAGTACTCTGGGGATCTATGAGACCTGAGAAGGAGAAATAGAATAGATTTTGCAGATGGGCTAGGATGGGTTGGGATGTGAATAGGAAGAATCAGGCTGAGAACGGGCAGAAGAAAGGAAGTGTGTACTGGGAAGGCTAAAGGAATTGGAGTGTTTGGGGGTGATGTGGAAACCCAGTACACTAGAAACTCCCTGGCATCTATGATGATCACTCTAGCAAAAGCCCCGAGTAATGAAGGATATGGAATTTGAACCAAGCAAGACTTCTAGTAGTGAGACTGGAGCACCAACCCAGCCACAAAACCTTTGACTGATAATTTGTCCTGACTACAAAATGTGCTAGAGTAAAGATGGTATGGAAATTGTCCAATGCCCAAACAATGACTGGTCCAACATGAGGCTCATACAATTAGAGGATGCCAGTGCTTCACACTGCCTCTCCTTTCATTCTCCCCTTTCTCAGTCTGATTCTTCCTATTCACATCCCAATCCACCCTAATCCATCGCAAAATCTATTCTATTTCTCCTTCCCAGGGATATCAGGAGCCAGAGGTGACAATGCCCAGAGAACTAGGATAGAACCAAACACAACTAGCCAGAAAGAGAAGTCAATGGAGTAATTCCTGCTGATATTATGCTATATGCATAGTTGGATCCCTAGACCAATTGTCATCAGAGAGGCTTCACCCAGCAACTGATGAGTACATTTGCAGAGACTCAAAGCCAAACACTAGGCAGAGGTCAGAGGAAACACCTCTGAAAAGGATCAGGAGGATTTTAGGTGCTAAGGAAATCAAGAACACCCACATGAACATGGCCCACATAATCAATTAGGCAGAGCTCATAGGAACTCTCAGAGGCTAAAATGACAATCACTGAGCCTCAGTGTATCTGAGGTAGGTCTTCATATGTGTTATGGTTTTATATCTTTGTGTTTTCTGTGGTATTACTAACAGTGGGAGTGCACATGTCTCTGGACATTTTGCCTGCTCAGATCCTGTTTCTTCTACTAGATAGCCTTGTCAACTCTTGATATGAGAGTTTGTGTCATCTGATTGTACTTTGTTAAGCTGCATTCAGTTTATATCCTTGGGAAGCTTGCATTATTCTGAAGGGAAATAGGGGTGGAGTGAATCTGGGAGAGATGGAAGTCAGCATGGTGTTGGGTGAAGTGGAGATAAGGGAAACTGTGATCCGGAAGTAATGGATAGGGGAAGGAAGAAAAGTATAATTCACCAGTGCTGCTGTCTGAGGAACTTGAACAGCATCACATGGGTCACCATGTACTGTCTTATAATTCAGCTGGAGAGGTAGGGTCTGTGGTTTTAATGTCAAGCAAGCTAAAGCCTCTCTGCTTGCCTTTCTCCTACCCACATATATTGATGAGGACAGGGTTGAAGAGTTTCCAACTTTAATTCTGACACTGCATTCTGAACCAAAGAATACCATGCATGTGACACTGTTAGAATATAGAGAATTTAATCATATTTTAAAACAAGTTGTGTGAGTGTGTGTATGTTAATTAAAAATATAGATCCATTTGTGCCACACTGAGATGCCTAGTGAAACAAGAGGATGAGGGTAAAGAAGGAGTCTACTGTGTAACTAATACAAAACCAGAGACTTTCAGGTTTTGTTTGATGTAAAAAAATACTTCCAGGTTAGCATCTCTTGGATACCTAGAATTCACAAACTGCCATATCTCCATGTGTCCAGCAGGGAAAGTCTTAGGCTCAAGGCTGAGCCAGTGGTGTTGAGAGACTGAGGGTCATGACTAAGCCTTTCTGTCCATGGAACTCCTGGGTTGGAACAAGGCTCACTATCCAGGCTTAGGTGGGAGGGGTATGCGCAGGTGACTGGCAGCCCAAGTCTGGCTGCAATGTGAGGTAGAGGAGACTCCACAGTTTTGGAACTTACAGGTAGAACAGTGAAAGGCTGGTGTAAATCAGGCCTGGGTGAGGTAGGGATGGAGCAGAAACTTCTGGTAGCTGGAGGAGGTCAGATGGAAAACGCTGGAAGGCCAGCAAGGGGGACAGAAGTGACTGAGCTCTGGGCTGGGCTGGGTAATGAGACCCAGATGAGTCTGTTTCCATCAGAGTAATGTCTCCATATTCAAGACTGAAATTTAGGTGGTGAGAGTCCCCTACCCTGCTAGAGAGGGGGACTGGAAACAGGGAACTGAATACGTTGCACAGCTCATGGCCTTCTGAATTCCCAGAGTCAAATTTCTCTTCACCCAGTGCCTTGTTTGACTCTCTGCCATTGTTGGGGCTGGATGAAGGTGGCTCAGAGATGGAGGAATTTCCTAGGCCCAGAAGATTCATGTCTGGAGGACTAAGGATGAATGAGTGACTGAGCACAGGGCACCTCAGTAGTGCTGTAGACTCCTGATGATTGTGTGTTGAGAAAGCTAACCTTGGAGACTTGAGGATTAAACATGGGTATGGCTGGATGTCATGGCTCACACCTTTAATCCTAGCACTGGGGAAGCAGAGAAGGGCAGATCTCTGTGAGTTGAAGGCCAGGCAGGTTTTCATAGTAAATCGCAGGACATCCAGAGCTATACAATGAGCTCCTATCTCGCAAATCTCTGAAAAAGCAGAAACAACCCCTTACTTACCACAAGAAAAACATGTGGGAATTCTGTAGCCTGAAATTTCAATAAGTGGAGGGGCTGGGGAAGGAGGAGGAAGCAAAGCCCAGAACTGACAGGGGAGGTCTGTCTGGACCAGCGATGTGCGCAATCAATTAAGTGGCTAAAACAGCAAAGAACTTCAGTTAGATGCACTCCAGAGGTTATTTATTATGAATTTTCAGTTGTTGCTGCCCACTGCACATCATTCTTGCCTGAGGTCAGGCAGGCTGGTCAGCACAGGTGGTTTAACACCTGTTAGAATAGCTTCATGTTACTGCTTATCCATGGCAGGAAGTATACAACCTTAGTGAAGACTCTTGAAGAGATTATCTTGTTTCTCCCATAGGATAAAACTCCATAAGCTCTGTTGTCACACACGAGGGGTCCCCCAGAGTCACCCTGTATGCAGAGAAAGGAAGAACTTATCTTGGCTTCCTCTGGCTCTGTTTTCCCCACCACCTCCTGGCAAGGCTAACTCTTAGGTCAGGGCCAGGACAGGTTTTCCAGTTTCCCTCAGTAACAGAACTCCATGGAGGCCCAACTTTTCCTTCTATCTTGTTCTAGACTTTCGCTGAAGTCCTCATGGATACTCTGAGGTTGACAGATGTTTCCCCAACTTACACATATGCTACACCCACAGAAGAGACAAAAGCTGAACTTTGGGGCCATCCCTTCTCTGAGCTGAGGCTTGAGGGTTTGGCCATTCTCACACCTTGACCTCTCCCAGGTCCCTCTCACCCTGAATTTTGTCCATTAAATGCTTGATCCCCACTTTGAAAGTACACTGTATTTTCTTTGGGTCTCCAGCACAAAACTCTGTGGTCTTGATGTAGTGACAGAAGCCTTTGCATTCCTGGTCCTCCTGGATGATTAGTTGGGCCTCTCGAAGGTAGGCAGATTCTTCAGTGGCACTGATGGACGTTTTCCCCCAGCCAGCCACATGGCACACATCCCCTGGCTTTATCTGGGCATTGAGTCTGGGCAACTTGAGGGGCCTCACAGCTCTAGTCTTCTTGGCCTTATGCTCCAGCTGACTGGGAAGAGTCATGAGAGACCAACTAGCTGAGATCTTGCTAGCCTGAGACTCTTTGAAAGTCAGAATGGAAGAGAGGGAAGAAGCAGGATCAGAGCAGAAGGAAGGGGCTAGCCCTGCACCAAGTAGAGCACAGGTGCAAGGGGGGGGAGGAGTGAGGGACGGGCAGAGGAGTGTAGATGGGAGGTTGGCAGATCTCACCTTTAATAGCATGATGTCATTGGTGTGGTCCTCATGATTATATGCCGGGTAGAGAATGGCTTTTTCCACAGGGATGATCTGCTGGGTCCTCTCCTGTGCACGGAGGTTGTGGGCCCCCAGTATTACTGTCATTGAGCTGTGGAGAGAGCAGAGTGGAGAGGAGAGATGTGAAGTCAGAAAGGATGCAGTGCAGGAGCTGTGAAAGGCAGGCCAGGTAGTGTAGGGCTCAAGCTGAGGGGACTTGAGGATACAGGAGAGCCTCAGGGTCAGACCTACTGCTCTCTGCATCTCAAGAATGTGGGATTCCTGGGGTCTCTGCCCTGCATCTAGGCAACATTCCATTGCTTGCACTGTATTTTACTGTGAACTTTCAACCTCAACCACTGCTCTAGTTTGTCCAGTGCGGTTGATCAACTCAAGTGTGCTGCTGGCTCTGACATCTCGTCCTTGGACCTACATTTACCTCTCATGTGACTTCCATTTTTCACACTCCTGTATTGTAATTAGCACTCATGGAAACATCCACAATACAGGACAGTAGCTCCTGTGGGGAGGTTTGGGGGCATGTGTCTGAGAAAACATCGGCTAGCTGTTCCTTCTCACCTTCCATTGCAGTGAGCAGCCATCAGCACAAAGTAGTCTCGAACCAGGAAGCCTCCACAGGCACCTATACTCCCATTAACTTTCACAAACTTCACATGTGCCATGTAAGGGCGGGAGTGGGTCTTGACCTCATGGCCCCCAATGATCTCCTCTGAAAGTTAAAAAGAAGGCTAGATTATGGGTTGTCTGGGGGAAGCAGATATGGTCAGCAGGGGAGATCTAGGAACGGACTGACTGGGGGTCAGATCTGTGGTTCCCCAAGCCTGTTGCAGACAGGATTCCTTGCACATGGAATAATCTTTGCTGTCTTTTAAGCCTCAGAACCCTGCTCTGAGAAGGGATGGGTAGCACTTGTCCCCCAGCATCTGCTTTACAAATGCATGGAGGGGTAAACTATATTTTCATGATGTTACAGACCAAGGTGATCCTGGGTGAATTGCTATTGGTCTTTCTTTGATAGTGAGGCACTCTAACCTCTATAATATTGAGTGATGTCATTTCTTCACCTTTTACCCCCAAGCTACCTGCACCAGCTCCAAGCAGCAGAAGAAAGGTCAGGAGAATCAGGACTGGTGGCATCCTCCCAGGAAGCTGCTCGGTTGGAGGAGGACAGAAGAGACACAGTCCTTGGAAGGGAAGGAAGGAGGTGTGGGCTCAGGGACCTCACAGGCATTTTAAACCTATGCAATTCTGCTTCTGATTGACGTCACATTTCTTAAGGAAGTATTCTGGTTTGGGTAAAAATGACACTGTCACCACATTGACATCCTATGAGCTAAGCTGGGATAAAAGTCAAGAATGTAGAGGGTTGGGGGCTGTGGTTGAGGAAGCCTGAGATCCAAGGAAGTCCACAGTGACTGCATGGAGACATGTGTGTCCTTTTCTAAGGCTAAGACACTTTTGCATCTGGTAAGATCTCTTTTGGTTTCTGTGCTTTTGTCTTCATTCTCTTTTATTTTTTTTTTCATTTCTTTTTCATTCCTATCTTTCTCTTTTCTTACTTAAAGAATAATAACGAGAGCCAATTTATCCTAACAACAGTTACAGCACAATACAAACACACTCACAAAGTTACACAGTACTTAGTGACAATTGATATCGCACCATATCTGCAGGGCAGTATTGTAGTGCATCATGGCATTAAAATTTGGGATTTTAATTGGGACTGATCATACCATGGAGTGATTTGTTTAAATATTCTGATGAATTAATCTTAACTCACTCTGACTTTCCTAAAACTGCTAGGAAGTCACAGGAAAGTCTCAAAAGCAAGTGTTTGCCTCATATTAAATGATCATATGTTACTGTCACACATAGTTAAATGTAATGACGAATCACATATGGCGCGTATCGTTTACTAGGAATTGTCATTTATCTCTGAGGCAAGAGCTTCAGCACTGAATTCAAAGGTCAGTAAAATTAGATCAACATTGACTTCTCCTACTGTTGACTCCAATGGTATTTTGTACAGTGCTGCCTAATATTTCCTATAGACAAACAAGCACCATGATCTTGAATGTCTATTTAATAAGCTACATCCAGTGTGAGAGACACAGGGATCCAGCTCTTGAAATGTCTGATCTAACTGGAAGGAGCTAAGAGCCTGTGCTTAGAGCATTAGATGCTGAGAGCTGAGAGCTGTATGAGATCCTCTGGGAGGTGAGACAGGCTGGCCTTGCCCTGAGCACAGGTGTGTGTGTGTGTGTGTGTGTGTGTGTGTGTGTGTGTGTGTGTGTGT